CAGTTGTGGGAGGAGGGTGAGGTGGGTTGAGCCTTCACCCAGAGGAGCTGTGGGGTAGGGGAAACGAAAGTCAGAAAATATGCATGAGGCTGGGAAAGAGTCCCCTTTCTGTTTATAGCTGTTTAAGGCCAGACCTTGTTGCTGTCTGGGAGAGGCCAGGTCAATGCTGACAAGTGGAAGGTACCTCTGGAGGAATGGGTCATTAGCAGCTTTTAACAATTAACAGCGGCATCAGTGAGGCCAAGTGACACTCTCTTTGGTCAATGGTTTATTGACATGTTTAGAAACAACCCTGTGCATCCTTGAAGCCAGAGACCTGCTCTTCTCTGCCATTCAGCTCTCACCCTAGGCCCGGTGGAGGAGGCTTGATAGCTCTTGACAGTGTACCATCTTAAACCCATTCAATTCCCTTCCCTGCGATAAAGGACGCTGGTTCTGAGAAGATAACATCTCACAGTGATGGCTCCCCGAGCTGCAATTGAGCACAAATCCAACCGCTCTATTGTACAGCTCAGCCAATTCGTTAAGGAAGGACAAGCGAGCTCATCTATTAACTCCATCATCATAATCAAATATTGGCACAAGGAACTGCTCTGCAGTGCAAAGTCGAGCGAAACCCCCATAAAACAATTATGTGCCCTTCAGGAAAACAACGTGGCAGCCAGTTGAGGGGAACCTTTGCATGGGTTGGCCTGTTTTTCTCCTTTGTGAAGGGGATAAAATCCCATCAACTTTCAAGTTAGGCCCAGCAAAGTCTCAAAGAGATCTTGTCCTTGGGGCTCCTGGGAAAGCTGGGGCCCATCCCCAACAGTCCCTGCTTCCAAGGGTGTGTCTTCTCAGTCATTTGGGACCACACAGCCAGGGCATCCAAGCAAGTCTGTCCTAAGCCTCTGTCAATTTTCCTGCCCCAGGACAGCTTGCAGATATCCAGTGAAGTGAGAAAAAGTTTCCAGTGAACACACACTGACATGGACATTCTTTAAGAAATCCTCCTACCCAAAACTTTGCTCTAAATTTTTCTGACTACAGTTCTGGCTGCATTTTACTCAGCCCTTCACATTTGTGCCTGTGGTACAGACACTTCCTCCTGCTATAACCCGACAGTGCTTGTGCCTCCATGCAGGGACAGACAGGGAAGTTCAGTTCAGTTAATCAGACAATTGAATTTCTTGGTGATGAACCTGCCTGAAATTCCCATTTGACCCAATTCACTCAGCTCCAAATGGCCTTAATGTGATTTACCTTATTTCACCTTGGGAGCTCCAGCTACAGCAGAGCAAAACTGAATTATGCCAACTTCAGAAATTATGCTTCCAACACAGAGATCAGTGGAAAATTCTCTTCATTGCCACAGCTTCAAAACATAAACTCTTACCAGTGGAAAGGCTCTGTTCTTCCAGGAGGGCAATCTGCAAAAATCACAGTTATTTCACTGTCAGGCTGATATAACTGAGCAAATCTTATTGATAAAAACCAGCCATCTTCCAGCATTTGAGCTAAACCTCAGAGCTCAGTTTGGTGAAGCTTTCTTTGGAAATCTAAGAGAGAAAAGTGTCTGTCTCTGTGTCCTGTCCCAGATCTGGCATCTCCTGTACTGCTCCCGATGGCATCCCCTCTGCTCACACAGTACCTGTGGGAGCACAAAGCCACAAAATCATGAAATGCTGGAATAGTTTGGGTTGGAAAGGACCTAGAGCTCATTTTGTTCCACCCTTCTGCCATGGGCAGCGACACCTTCCACTAGACCAGATTGCTCCAAGCCCCATCCAACCTGGCCTTGGACACTTCCAGGGATCCAGGGGCAGCCACAGCTTCTCTGGGCAACCTGTGCCAGGGCATCACCACCCTTATAGGAAAGAATTTCTTCCCAATATCCCATCTAACCCTGCCCTCTGTCAGTCTGAAGCCATTCCGTTTTGTCCTGTCACTCCAGGCCCTTGTCCAAAGTCCTTTCCAGCTCTCTTGGAGCCCCTTTAGGCACTGGAAGGGGCTCCAAGATCTCCCTGGAGCCTCCTCTTCCCCAGGCTGAACAACCCCAGCTCTTCCAGCCTGTCTCCAGAGCAGAGGTGCTCCAGCCCTCCTGGGAATGTGGGGTTTTGATTCTCCCCATCATGGCACTAGTGGGATTTTAGGTACCTGCTTGGCTGGATGGTGACAGCTCCTTATTCTTCAAAGCCTTCAGAGATGCCAAACCTAAATTCCCATTAAATCCTCCAGCTTAATAGGTGGGAAGAGCCAGGTGTGAAGTGCACAGTCCCTCAGCAGAGCTCCAGGTCAGCAGGGACATGGTGACCCCACAAGCCACAGTGAAGGACAAGGACAAAGCCCCGTGGGGACACATCAGGAATATTGGCAACAGCTCGAAGAAAGACCATAGGAACTAAAGTCACAAACAGAACTGGGTTTTATTACGAAATAACCCTGCCAGTACATAAGGAAGTTCTGTCTGCAAAATACATTTCCTGAGGAAAGTAGATCACAGTATTCGTTTTCACAGAATAACATGTAGCCTGCTATAACTTTCAATGTGACTCTTTATTATTTAAATATTAACAGTATTCCTTCACATAAACAAGTACTCAGTCATCACATAACCAACACACAAACGACAAAATAAATATACAACAAGAGCACAGTTCGTTTTTTTCCCCGACTTAAATATTAAATAAATAATAAATACAGAATTTTCATTTCCTGTTATCAGTGCCTGAAACAATATGAATGAAAAAGAAAAGAAAAACTGAAAAAGTCTCTCTTCCCCCCGGTGCCCCTGCCCCTGCAAAAAAACAAACCAAAAAATTATCAAAATGTCTCAGTTATAAAATATCTTTAAAAAAATTCCCATCCTTAAAAGAATAAATAACAAAATATATAAAAAATAACTTGGTTGCATCAAAATTACAAGTAGGAGTTGTAGATAGGGGTTTTTTCTTTTTTTTTTTTTTTGAATATCATTTTTTATGGTCAAGAGTTTTAATTTTTAACTTTTTTTGCTTCTTTTATCTTCATTTCTATGGTGCAGTGTCCAGTTTAAAATAAGTATAAAATTAATAAATAAAAAAGTTAAATAAATAGCAAAAAGTTAACATAAGGTGTTGTAAATATAAATTACATACATCTTGCCAAAATTAAATAATTTACAGGATAATTAAACTAACTACTTTTTTTTTTCTTCTCTTTCTTCCAGTAAGTGCAATTTCTCTACTTTTAAATACTAACTGAATTGCAGTCACAATCAATTTGGACTCTATTTACATGTTAAGAACATTGTGTTTTTAACACCTCAAATTTTATATTCTTTTTTTTTTCCCTTTCTTTCGTATTTTTGCACTTGGAATGGGTTCTAAAATAAGTGAACTCATGGAGTCTGATCCTGCAAACACTTAAGTATGGGAGCAAACCCACCCAGGCCAACTGCCCTGTGGAACTCAACACGGAACCGACACAATCGAGTCACTCATGGGCTTAGAGGCCGGATCCAGTGGCCACGGTAGCCACTGGGACTTTCCACTGACTTCTCCAAAGCGCAAATTACATCCTAAACATCTGCAGGATTCGGCCCGAAACAACACCACAGTCTTGCCTTTAGCAGGGGCCAACAAAATCCTCCCCAGCTCTGCCCACCCCGCTGCCGGGAGGGATGCGGGATATGGGATGCAGGATGCAAGATGCACCCATGCTGGGGCCCCTCGGGGGGGTTCTGCCCCATGGTGCTTGTGAGGTGTTTGGAGAAGGAAGCGAGCTCCGGATGGGAGCGGAGGTGGGGTGACAGCCGGCCCTGGCGATGGAGCGGGTGCTGCAGAGCAGCGGCGCAAAGACAATCGTAGAGTTGTTCTTTAAGTGCACAGTGGGCTGCGTGTACCGAGCTGCTTACAAAATGCTTCTTTGGAAGAATACCCATTACCTGAATACTCTTTTTTTTTTTTTTTCCTTTTTTTTTTTTTCCTTTTTTTTTTTTTTTTTTTTTTTTTGTTTTGCAGAATGGCGCTTGCGCTGTGATTTCCCCGCAAATCCTAGAACACCAAACCAAAAAAAAATACTCATTGCCCCGTGGATACCTGTGAGAAATCAACTCCCGATTCACGGTGTGTAAGCACTTTGCTGGCCATCAATTAACATCTCTCTTTTTGTCGGTTTTTGCCTCTTTTGTTTTGTTTTGTTTCGTTTTGTTCATCGCAATCTCAACCGTTCTCTGGCATTGATGTATGATCTCTGGACTGGCAGTACTGCGCCACTGTAAGGATGATCACAATAATGAAAAGAACCAGAACTGTCATCAAACAGACTTCCAAAAAATCATATACACCGGACCATGACACATTAAAGAGTTCCTCTGTATGAAATATCTGGAATTGGCCTATTCATAATAGCTATTCTCATATTTAAGACAGACAAAGGAATACTGTAGTTGCAAACTCCAAAAGCTTCCCTGAGAACCTTTTTTCCATTGCGCTTTCCACTGGAGATCCAGAACTGCTCTTCAGATTTCTTTCAGAAAATAAAAATAAGCTACTTTATAATACTTCAGAGTTCCCATGCCCAGTGGATATCTGAACACTTCGGGGTTGGGAGGCCCAGCACAGGTTCAGATTTACAGGTAGCTTGCAGCTCCAGCACTTGTAGCAACACAGAACATAACTCATGTGTGAGTAGGTGATCTGGACATACAACCATAGACAACATGAGGGTTTAAGCCAGTCATACACTAGTCTTGGATCAGACAAGACCCTGTTCTTGTAATGTTTTAACCCTTGGATCAACTCTGAAAGAGCATGGCAACTCATGAAAGTTGCCTGCTCTTCACTTGCTACCAAGTCCCACAGCCTACTGGAGAATTTAACCTTCCGTCCTGATCTACCTCGTGGTCCAGGTAGAAAAAAACCCACTTTTCTCAAGAAGGTCCAAAGTTAAGTAAACGAGAACATTGAGTTCGATCAGTTCCATGTCTCAGAAATGGCCTCTTGGTTACATTTTGGTCCTTTTTTTTCCTTTTTTTTTTCTTTTTTTTTCATTCATTAAACAAGTTTTCTAACTTGTAAACCTGAATACTTGGAGGGAAAGTTCCATCTTACAGTCTGTTTTCTTGCTCATCTCCATCCCACGGCACTAAACCTGGATGCCCTTGACGGCTTGCTTGATGCTCTCCAGCAGGTCCTTGTTCTCCGGGTTCTGGTAGCATTCCTGGTTGGTGTACATGTCTGTCAACGTGTTCACATATGCATCAAAGTTCTGCTCACTAATTGGCTCCTGCAGACAAAAAAAAAAAAAAAAACAAAAACAAATGAAAGGGTTAGTAGAAGCGCAGGAAGAGGCTGAAACAATTCTTTGCAATAAACCATCTGCGTGTTTTATTGTGGATGCCTGAAAGTGTTCAAGGTCAGGTTGGATTGGGCTTGGAGTAACCTGGTCTAACAGAAAGTGTCCCTGCCCATGGCAGGGGGTTGGAACAAGATGGCCTTTAAGGTCCCTTCCAACCCAAACCATTCTATGATTCTATGTATGTACTGGCAGTCAAAGGTCTCCACTTCAGAGCCTTTTTGTGTGTGGTGCTGTACCTCTGGGAATCTCATCGTGCAACCCCTGATCCTGCCAGATCTTAACTGGATCCTTAATTTTATGGATTGGCCTTGTGCAACTATTAACAGCATCAGGTTAAGTACATTCAGGCAGTTTGACAGGCTGGAGGTTGAATAAAGCCATGGAAATGAAGGGCAGGAGAACAAGAGGACTGGTGGAACATCACAGAAGGAACCAAAGGCAAAGTCAGGACAGAAGCCTGGCCACCTTGAGCTTACAGCTGCCCACACCAGCACTCTGCTGCAGTACAGCTTCTGCTTTTGAGGGGCATTGTGGAAACCTTGCAAATATCTCATTTGGAGTAATGGGGGGAAAAGAAAGGGAGAAGGAAGAAAAAGAATAGGAATAAAATGAGCATACAAGTCTCATGGGCATTATTTAATTGGAGTTGCCTGAAACCTTGAAAAAATATTTGCCGAACAGTTTATTTGACCTTTTTGTGTCAAATACTTTACAAAAAAGCACTCAGCGAGCGGTTTTCTGCCAGTTAGGCAGCTGGGTGAATACTATCCAAAACTGCTCTGCTGGAGGATGGCTTCTCTCCAACAAGACTGAATTTAAATACAACCTCCAATGAAAAGGATTCCCAAAAAAAAAAAAAAAAAGGATGGTAGAAAAAAATAAATCAAAAGCTCATTCCTCTGATCATTGCAATGGTCTTTATGAGTTGTAAGAGAAAAACTTCCTCAATAACATGAGCCCCCCCTCCACACACCTGGTTTTGACAACAGTAATTACATTCCTGGGAATAGAGCGAAGGTAATTAATAGCCTTTTGTGGTTTTACTATTTTAATGCAGTCTTTTCATTTCTCAGTAACTCTACAGTAACATGCTGTGGGCTGTTAGACCTTGTTAAATTAAACAAAATACATTCTCTTTAAGAATGCTATTCTTTGGCTGCCAGCTATTCAAAACCGAATTGAAACTACCTGCATTATAATAGGAGCTCTAAGATCTTTCTGACGTTGAAATCCAATCCCTCCTGATCTCTGCTTGTGCTGTCTTAGCCTAAAAGGCAATGGGTGCCCTTGATAAAGTTTCCTATTTTGTGATAGTGCTCCCAGATGTAATGAGACAGAACAATAGATACAAAGGGAGATCAGCAGAAAATGACAACAAAAGGGAGATATAATGCAAGCTTCAGAGATAAGGGAGAAGTACTGATCTTATAAAGGACACGTAGGTGTATGGAGAGAAATTCTCCCAGTCTTTAATTGTGAATAAGCCTTATTGTGAACTGGGTTTGGCACAGCTCCCTTGATCACACCGGCTGGGGCGAGCGCTGTCAAAGTTCCTTACCATGTGCGGAAGGCGGATATTGGCAAGACTTTGGATTAGAGCCTGGCTCAACCCTGAGAGCTCCAGGAACAGGGCTTCATTTTGCTCCTCTATTATTTTGTTTTCCTCCTCGATGTTCTTCAGGTTCTTCTCCATGGTGGAGATCTGCAGAGCAAGGAGCACGGCAGGGTTACCAACCCTCACCGGTGGCACCCACCACCACCCAGTGAGGGGCTTGGCCATGCACCCGTGGGCTTGGGGGCTCATCCAAGCACACAAACCTGTGACTGTAGTTTCACCATGGCCGCTTCCATCTCCGAGTTGGACTCGTTCAGCTCACTGATCTCCTTGTTCAGCTGCTTGATCTCTTCATCGTTCTCCAGAACTGCAGGAGGGAAGGTCATGGACAGTCAGCAAATGCTCTTGGGAAAAGCAAAATGTTGGGCTTTCTGCTGAGCCCATCCTGCTGCATAGACATCTCCACTCCCAGCGTCCTCGTGTCCTCACCTTGGCTTTTACATCCTCTAAACGGGATGCACATCTCACCTGCATTTTTTTTTACCTTTATTTTTTTTTTAATTAAAGTTTGGATCATCACAGTTCAATGATACTTGAATAGGTCAATATGTAAATGCAAAAGCAAAGGGCAACTGAGCGGCTGGAGTCCAGCACATCCCCACACCCAGCAAGGTTGATTGTCCTGAACAATCAGGTCACTTCTCCAGTCCTGAGTTTGGAAAGATGCCATTTAAAAACCTAATGCATGTCTTGATTAGAAATTACGAGGTTCATAAAAAAAAGCAATATTTCCAGAAGAGTGCAGGTATTTATGGGTTCCAAACTATATAAGTACTCAAGTTCAAGGCTCAAACCTTGTCAAATACCACAGAGAGCTCAGTAATAGCACTGGAAAAGCAAAGTGCCATCGCTAACAAAATTCCAGATCCAGAAATATCACAGTATTAAAAGCCCTGAATAGGTGAAAATTGCTGAATGACTGCAAGGGATTTGTAAAAATGCCAGTGAATATTTGAAAAAAAAAATAATCTCAATTTCAGCATTAATTCTTTTGCCTTCTTTATTGTCACTCCCTCAAAGTGTGTGACTCAGGGAGTGGGGCTGGTACCATACTATCCCCAGCACCCAGAAAACTCAAGGAATGGGTTTTCATAGCACATGACATCTTTGCAAATCTGTGGCCAGATTTCAGCTGTTGAAACCTCCTCAGTCTGCAAACAAGAAGATCTGCAGGCTCAATACCCCAACACACCTGCAAGGCAAAGGAGTGAAAATCCTTACCGTCGCTGGTCTTGAACTTTGTGTTGAGAATTTCATCCCCTGAGAGTTTTCCTTTCTTCCCAGCAAAAGTAGCTCTTGGACACCCTGACAAACTGAAAAACAAGTAAAGATGGGTTTCATAAACTCTCAGTATTTATAGGTGCTTGTGTTCCCAACAAGAGCACACACCATTTGGTGGAGTTCACGCTGTGAGACAGTTCTTCTAAAAGCTTTTTATGGTACAGGGGAAATTGCTTTATGAATAATGCCACAAAACTCCCCATTTATAAAGTGAGAGCAATTTTCTTTAAGCAAGGATTAAAAAACACATTGTTTCCTAAAAGACAGGGTACACCAGGTGAGGAAGGCGAGATGAGTCTCGCTAGCTTGGGCATTTCCCCCCTGTTCGTGGTGCTCAAGTGCTTTTCTAACATGCTAATGGAGATTTAGATTAGATACCTACAGGGAGGTAGATGAGTCCACAGCAATGCTGTCACACTCACACTGATTTCCAGTTCTGATTTACCTTCTGTGAGTGAGGAAGCTCCCGTTGGCATGGCCGGAACCGTCACAGCCTGGGGTAGGGCAGGTTGGGCCTTCATTCTTCAATGACTTCCAGGAAAACGAGGAGCCATTGAGTGATCCTTCCTTCTGTCTGCGGGCTGCGAGAGGGCACCCTGACGCACTCCGGTGAGAGGCGTATTTGCCGCTGATGTGCCCGAGCCCAACACAGCCAGGAACAGGACACCTGAGCACAGGGAACCACCAGAAATTACGGCGTGGCCATAAGGAGGAAGGAGCAGAAGGAACGGATAAAGATGTAAGGAAATTAGGGATGAGCAGGAACGGGGGAGCCTTGGAAGAGAGCATTTGCATTTGGGTCTCGTCTCAGGTTTATGGGGTAGATACTTAGTTGATGGAAATGGCAGATGGGAAATTAAGAGCTACGACTGCTCCTTCAAAAGAGTCAAAGAGAATCAAGGAGAATTCTGCAGAAGGAAAGACTGTGGAGGTCACATCGCACACAGCAAAAGCAGGTCCCAGTGGAGTCAAAAACCATTTGTTTGGTGCCTCACTGAGGGAAAAGATGGTGGTTTGGGCTGCAAGACACGGGATCCTGAGATACCACAAGGCTGACACTCTCACACTGAACCATCACAGGTGTACAGCCAGCTCTGCACAGTGCCACTGCTGAGGAATGCAGGGTCATCAACTTTATCACCCTACACTAGCACAATCAACACGATCTAGGAGCACTGCCTGTGCCGGTGGGGACACAACCCTTCCCTGTGAGCCAGTCCCTGAGCCAGGAGCTGCTCAGGCTGTGACCTGTGCATGAAGAGCTGTAAACCTGCTCCTGCCAGGAGGGTGTCTGAGGAGCTTCTGAGCTTGTACCCCAGCAGACAGGACGAATCACTAGGCCATCACTCAGCCTGGCATGACCTCACTTGCCTCCTCCTCCTCCTCCTCCTCCTCATCCTCCTCCTCCTCCTGGTTCACATCCTGCCTCTGTGGAAAGATCAACCCACGCTCACAGAGGGATAAAGTGGGAATTACCATCAAGGCAGCACATGAGCCCTCCTGCCCCCGCACTTCTGCTGCTGTTTATGGACGACTGAAACCCACGGGAGCTGTGAGGAGCGTCCTGGAAGCACCAACACAACTTGTGCTGTTGGCAAGCAGGCGAGTGGCTCTCCAAAAGGCACCTCTTTCCTCCCTCCTCACAGCCCCCCACCCTAATGGCATTCTCACTAAATCCAGCCGGCCCACAAGTCCAGTGTTATCTGTCAGGATTTCTGCTGTGGTTTGCATTTGTTTAAAAATGCTTGCCAATTATAAATACAGTTAAAAGTTTATTACTCAGGGGAGGTTGCTCTAAAATAAGGGAGGTGGAAGTAGGTAAGAAATGCCAAAAATAACCCCCCACGTCCTCAGTATGGAAGCAATTAGGGACTTTGAGGCTCCCCAGCAAAAATATCCACCAAGCTGCTCCTGAAAATCGCAAGCTGCGTTTCACTACAGAAATTATTACCCTGATTGTTTACATTCTGCACAAAAGGGAGATGACAGCAGAAGGGAGGGGGGCTCTACACCCAGCCTTTCCCCAAGATAATTTGAAAAATGCTGATCTCGATTTTAATCAGCTGCAAATGCAGCACAATTCACTTATAATATCCCTGCCAGCAGGATCCTCAGTAAATTCATAACATCATTGCTTTTATATGATCACGAGCAAATTACTGAATCCTCAGGAGGAAAAGGAGAAAGGGGGGGATGAAGGAGAAAGAGAGAAAGAGACAAACCCCAGGATTTAGTATGCAGCCATTATGGCCCAACCGTTACATATTTTACGCCGTTAATTTAAGTTTTATTACATTTTCATTGTTAAAAAATAAACCAGAGCCTTATTGTGCAAACCAGCTGTCTTGGACATTTTTTTTAAATTATTTTTTGTTAATTATTATTATTTAATGGAAGCACCAGCAGCGTTTGATCAATTAGACACCTGTGGATGCTTCCGTTCTACGCCAGGGCTCGGCTGAAGGTTGAGGTGATCTGTTCAATCACGTCTGCAGCAAATTACTTGAAGGATGAACAGCAAAAACAACAGGGACTAAATGACTTTCTCCTTGGTGGTGATGTGCAAAGCTCGGCCGGGTTCCAAGTGGCGCTCGGTGCAGACGGAGGGTGGATTTAGAGCCAAAGCTCCTTAACGCAAACCGGCACCGGGCACACCTTGCTGTGGGCAGTGGAACACCCTTCCCATGGGATGGGAGAAGGTGGCAGCGATGGATTGTTGTATCATGTTGCTTTGCACATCTCAGAGGAGCTTCTGTTCCTCCTGGGTGTGCTGGAGAAGTTGGGGTTACTGCCTGTGCTGTGGGATATTAGGGAATGCCTTCACCTCCTGCTCTGTAGAGACCCTCAGATCCCACCTGGCACTGCCTGCCCCAGTGCCCACAGTCCCACCAAGACCAGTCTGGGGACGGACAGTATCAGCTTTCCAGGAGTCAGGAAATCCAGTTCTGGTGATGCTCCAACCCCATTTGAAGCTTGGAGCCCAGAGAATCTATGGATGTCCCACCCCTGGAAGTGTCCAAGGCCAGGTTGGACGGGCCTTGGAGCAACCTGGTCTAGTGGAAGGTGTCCCTGTCCATGGCAGGGGGTTGGATGAGATGGGCTTTAAGGTCCCCTCCAACCCAGCCTATTCTAGGATTCTATGATTTCTTGCCAGTTTGGCTTCCCAGCATTTTCATCTTTAGTGTGAACTGGGAGAGAACCCAACCCCTGATGAGGATGCTGGTGGGACCATCATTCTGCTGTGGGAGTCCTGACAGCTCATCCCATGTTCCAATACAAGCCCCAGCTGCACTATAAAAACACAGCCACATAAAAGCCCTTTTTCTCCTTGGACTGGAAAGTTATTTTTTTGCAGAGAAAATGCACTGGCGAAACTGCTTGGCATATTCCTGCCTGGTCCTGTCCTGAATGGGAAAGGCACAGATGAGAAAAACCACAGCTTCCCCAGCCCCACAGGGCACGTATTCCTGGGGAAACCATGGATAGGGATGACCTCCCACACACCCCTCCAATCACAGTGAAAGCAAAGGTGCAACAGCCAGCAGTTGCACAACAACAATTTGCTGCTCGTCCTTTCCTTCCCTGTGTCTCTGGTTAATGGCCCAGCATTGCAATGCCACCAGCAACTCAGTATATTTGAGCCAAAAGAGGATTTTTCCCACAGATTCTCAAGTAGGTTGCTTAATTTTTAATAAACTCTGCTAACTCCTGCTAATTATCACACGGCTCATTTAACTGGGAGGCTTTCCTTCCTGTAGACTGAGGAGGAAGAACAGAGCAGATGGCTCAAATATCATCTTTTTCTGAAAGGTCCTTATGCCCCAGCAGGCACATCCCAGCTTCCTGCAGCCCCCACGGGATACTTCCACACCCACTGGGTCCTGCTCCAGCTCAGCCTCTGCTCCAGAACAAAACCTGGGCACACAAAGGTATTCACCTCTGATCCCCTGCAAAGGCAAAACCAGCCCTGGGGCTAAAATAAGTTAAAAAAATCCATTTGGAGACAGTCTGATGATCCAAAGGGGTTTGGGCAGATATGTCAGCACTCATGGGCAACTGGAATCTCTTGGAGGGAGTTGATAATTTTTCCCATGTTTCTTTTTACCCTCTTTCACCTGCACTTGCTAGGTGAGTGGACAGGCTCCAGAAAGGCTGGGATTGCTCTGGGTTAACAAAAAACAAGATCCTGGAGTCAGTGCTGCCTTTGATGTCCTATGGCTGTATAAAGGGTTGAGACACTGACCTCAAACACCACATCAGGCCATGGACACTTAGCCTGTGATGCTTGGACTTCTTAAAAGTCAGGCCAAATGGATTTCACAGATCATGAAAATTCCCGAGGTGCACTAAGGGATTTCAGATCTCTATTCTCTGAAGGAATAAACCTCCTGGGACATTTTGAAAACTTCAGCCCGAGGCAGCAGAGAAAGGTTTTATTCAGTTCACTCTGAATATTCTGCCCTGGCAAAGACTCTACAAAACATGTTTTATTCAGGGTTACTGGATCCTGACTGGACTCATTGCTGGATAGTTTCTATTTCTACTGTGTTCCTGGGAGTTAAGCAAGCCCCTCAGCCCTCATCTGCCCCTTGCTGCCCGAAAACCTGCAACATTTGGCTTGACTGTGGGGTTTTACCCTCATTTACAACACTGGTGGGTTTTCTTAGGAATTATATGAAGCACAGGTAGCAGAAAAACTGTTTGTGCCCTACCAGCCTACCTTTCACATCTGCAGAAACAAACAAGAAAACATACACCATTACCTCCCCAGCACCCAATTTTTCAACCAAATTGCAAAATTGCAACACCAAAAAACCAACAGAAAAGCTTCGTAGATGATGCTCAAAGCAGAGTGAGCCAGGAGGGATGTGGGAGGGATGTTGCTCCCCCACGTAAATCTGTGTGAAGCAAAGGGGATACAGTGAAAAGCTCTACTCAGGAGTTATCCCCAGACTTACTTCATCAGCTCTGGGTCTTCTTTATCATCCTTTGTCGGGGTGATCTTGATCCCACTTTTCTTGGCACGAGGGCAGCCTGACAGACTGTGGTTAAAAAGAGAAGAAAGGCCTGTCTCACTGGCAGAATCCCTGCCTTTGCTATTCCCCCACTTCAGTCATCTTTCCCTTGAATTTGGCACAGTGTTTTTTGATCTCTCTCGTTTTACAGCTTCACACCACGAGGAGAAGTCAGAAGAAAAAAATAATAAAAAATTGAGGGAGATGGACAGTAATTAATGGTGTCTAGATAAGAAGATATCTGCTAACAGCCTGCAATGTTTAATGGAATTGTTGAAACAGAAGGCTCAGATCTCTGCTATTAATGTTCTAAAGTGATAATAGAAATCATAAATAGGTAGCAATATTAACAGGAACATTGCATCAGCTAAAATCTGACCCTTTGTCTTTTATTCTGTTGAAAGGAGCTTCTAATCAGATGCTGGAAACATCAGAAAAAAAAAAAAAAGAGAGAGAAGTCAGATTAAAGAGATGAAAATAGGCTTCAGTTGTCAGTAACATTAATGTTTTATTCAGAACTTTACAACTCTGCCCACTGCAGGGGAAAAAAAAAAAAAAAGGCAACACAGAAAGAGGCTACAGAGAAAATAATTTAAGGGAGATCTTACCTTCTATGCGATGCATAATTTCCTGTTATGTGACCAGAGCCATCACAACCAGGAGTAGGGCACCTGCGGAGGCAAGGGAGGCTCAGATTAGCCCGGGGGTGCGAGCAGGGGGTCGACACTCTGCGACAGCTCATTTCAAAGAGAAATCTAGGGACTGTCAACACAGAAGCAGGTTTTTCCTTCCTGCCCCTTCTCCCTCTGCAAGAACAAGGTCTGGTCTGTAATATCCACAGCACCAAAGTCAGCGCATCGCTGTGTGATGGAGAGGAACATCGGAGGCAAGATGTTGGGATGTTGGGAGGGATGTTGGGAGCACAGTGAGTGGCTGCTCTCCAGGAGGGACACAGGTCCCAGCCTCTGTCCCCACCCTCAGGAAGGGGACAGCTCAGGAGCTGATAATGAGCTAAAAAACCCCTCCAGGACAGTGTCTGTCATCTTGAGGAAGCTGTAAGGAGACAGCAGGTGCCATCCAGGGCCAGCAGGATGGATGCAAGCATAGAAAAGGAATGAGAAAAATAGCCTGGACAGGGGGTCCAGCAGGGCCACCACCAAGAGGAAGGTCCCAGTTCAGGTCTGGGTGACTTGGGTGTGGGGGGTGGCTAATCTCAGTGGGGGCAAATGGAAAGCCCATTGCAGGAGGGTACTCAAAGTGCAATACCAGCCAATGCTTCCGATGGAAAAAGATGAAGGAACAGGAGGAAAAAGGTTAGGTTAACCCTGGGTTCTCTTCTTCATCACTGTAGGCAGGACACAGGGGGTGTTGCAGGGTGACAGCACCTCCTGGACCTCGGGCTGGGGGTCGCCAGGTCACCACACACGGTGCCCCAGCAGCTTTTGGTGCTTCGGTGCAGAATCTGCCCCTCGGTCCTCAGCCATCGCCATTACAAAGGGACCTTTGAAGATGCACCCAGGGTCGTGAGTTTGAAGGTGAGCACCCAGCACTCTGGGATGGCACTGAGAGCAAAGCCTGGAGAATGGTCCTGTGACCACCCAAACCTGCACAAAGGCTGGCAGGGCTGCGAGCCCGCCGAGCAGCAGCCAAGATGATGGCACGAGTTAAGCACCGCATCGTCAAGGGCTCAGAGCGAGAGCGGTGAGGGGACATGAAGTACCACGAGCACAAAGATCTGTTCCGAATGCTGTAGGTGACGCGGCGGACATAAAAGTTGTCATGGGGACAAGGAGGAGAGGCGAGGAGTGTTCGCAGAGGATGTGCACGCCAGCCTGCCAATTAGCCAGGGTTTTTTCAGTCAAGTGATTAGGACCGGGGGAGGGGTGGGAGGGGGAGGAAATCCGCGGTGCTGTGGCAGGACGAGGGGGAGATGCTCGGCTGCTCCTTCTAACCAGAGCTCAGGGCACATCCACGAGCTTGAAGAGTGCCCATTCTCCTCGGGGAAGGGTTTTGCTGTGCCCCACCTTTCTCAATCCCTATTTTTAAAGCCACCAGTGCCTGGTTTGGACCACTGGCAGGTACCTGCCCCAGAACAGGGACTGATGTGTGTCCAGGACATGCCAGTGGTGTATGGGCAGCCCCTGAGGTCAGTGCCCTTGGGAAAGGCAATATACTTTCCCAAAGGTTGCCCAGGGAGATGGTGGATGCCCTGGAAGTGTCCAAGGCCAGGTTGGACAGGGCTCTGAGCAGCCTGATTTAGCTGAAGATGTCCCTGCTCACTGCAGGGGTTTGGACTAGATGGCTTTTAAAGGTCCCTTCCACCCCAAACTATTCTGTGGTTCTGTGCTGGTGCCTGGCCTGGGCAATGGTATAATTGGGGTGCTCCAGCCTCTGAGAGTCAGTGAAGCAATGATTTCCACAAATGTCTTTTATCTGGCAGCTTGGAAAACAGCCTTTCAAAAAGCCCTCTTTTTTTTGACCAGAAAATATCAACATTCTCCTCTTTGCACAAGCTCAGAGGGAGAGTTTGGCATTTGCAGGTCACTGAATAGTCTCTGTTGGCAAAAAAAATTGTTACTTCACCTCAGATTGGGAGTACAGGTACACATCCTGATCCCAGAAGGATGTCAGGGACACTAAGTCAGGACCAAGGCTCAGCCTGCTCAGATGCAGGAAAACATAAATGCACAGAGATCCAGAGCAGTAAGAGCAGGGATATATCCAGCAGAACCTCAACAAGGATGCAAATGCTTCAACTCATTTAGAAATTACAGGTTTGGGAGATGACTGTGACATTTCCCTGCTATACACTCTTAAAGTAGAAAGCAAAACTATTTCTTTGTTGTTCTAGCTTCAGGGTGGGAGGAAATTATGAAAACACTAACACCAAACTCTTTCTGCCTTTCAGGACTTTCAAAGAGAGGAGAGAAGTAATTTGATTTTTATTTTTAATTATCTGGAGACAAATCATACCAACAGAGACCTTTTATTGCATGTTCCAGCCTGGAGCTGTTTTTTTTATATCAGGGATATTAACCCCTGAAATAGAATTTATAATAGAAACACTGACATGGTCTTATCTGGAGATGTGAAAAGCTATGACTGTGCAATCTGTAATATCTCCAAATCGTCTTCTCTTCCTCCCTCCTCTGCTCCCATCCTCACCAAGACATAGAAAAAAAAAGAGTATTTGAGAAAAAATATTAACAAGCTTTTTTTTTTCCCAGAAGTCTGTTTTATACAGTATTTTGATAAAAAGCACTGACATTGGATGCCTGAGGGGGGCAGGGGATCCTGCACAGCAAAGCTGGGTGCAGTGTTTGATCTCAGGTACAACCCTGTTTGATTTTTGTCTGGTCCTTACTGGAAATGGGCACTGCTCCCGAGAGCTTTTAATATCTTCAACACTAATTTTCTGATCACTTGGCTACTCTTTAAGGCTGTTGGAGAAACACCAGTTCAGCAAGATTCTTTGAAGAGGTTCTTTCAAAATATACAGTCTATAATGCATGATTAAGTGTACTTAGCACTAACCACGCCAGTCCTTTCCATCCACCAGCATATTCTATTAATATCAGCTAATCCTGCCACTTTTTTCACCTCTGTGATAAGGAGCAGGCATTTAACAAACACTTTTCCTGGTACCAGCACCTGCGTTGGTTGTGGGGCACAGAGCAGTCCCAGAGCCATGTGTCCCTCCAGTCCGTCACAGAGGAATTTGGGACTTTATCAATCATCTTTGTGACCAAAGAGGCTCCCCCTGACTCACCCATGGCTTCAAAAATCCTTGATTGTGTTCAGGACACAGCACATTTGTGGTTTTTTTCATGGTGAGCCTGTGCAATGGGAGGCTCTCCATTTTACTCTCGGTGGGGGCTCTTCAGCTATAGTTGTGAATATCTCAGTGTCTGAATGATCCAAAAACTGGATTCAGCAAAGCAGGGAGCTCAGAGGAGACAAAGGTAGGCTGGATCCATGAAAGAAATGTTGAAAAAGTTCTCAATGAGCTTTCCCTCAAAGAGGGAGTTGTGTGGAGGAGGCTTCAGGTCCCCCCAGTGTCTTCATCTATTTTAAATACAATTTTTTCTTTCTTAACAAAAGCAACCTAAGAGAGCATCTGGGAAACCCTCCTATGAAGAATAAGCTCCTACTGAAAATGAGGAGTTTGGGGAAGACACAGCAAAGGTGAAAACAAGATTCAGAGGAAGATATTTGACTGAAAATGTCAAAACCAGGTTACTCTCTTCAGAAGCAGCAATGGAAACAGGGAAAGTCAGATGCCTGTGAGCCCTTTGCCACTGGCTCAGGATCTGGCCTCACCAAACATTTGCACACTCCCTCCTTCATTCCCTCACAAGTCATGGGAATGAATAGGAACCGCTCTCACTACATCCAGAACAACCACTAAAATTTAGCCTAAAAATAGCATCCCAGGTTCTCCAAAAGAGTTGGCTTTGCTATGTCCTGGTGGTGTGTTCCCACCTGTGTCTCTGCCCGAAAATAAAGCGTGAGCCTTTCTCCAGGTTTTGGATTATTTGAGATGTACAAAAATGTTAAATGAAAAGGGTTATGGCCCAAACTAGGGAACAAGAGCTTGAGAAAAGAAAATAGCATGTCTACAGTGCCCAGAGGAAACCTGCCAGACGTTCAGGTAACTTCCAATCACTGCCATGAGCCCCTCTCCCCAAAATAAGCCTTCCTTCATGCCATTGCCTCTTCAATGTGACAGCTGGAAGCTGGACTCCACCAGAGCTCCTTGCAGGTAGGTTTTGATCAGCTCTTTGAAAGGAGAAGGGAAGGGATGGAAAAGCAAAAGCAGAGCAAGAGGAGTGGGGGCAGGAAGGGAGAAGAGAGAAAAAAGGGTGGAAATAAAGAAAAAAAAAAGGAGTTCCAAGTTGAGCGCAAACATACTTGAGGTCAGCAGAGTGGGCAGCCATGAGGTTTCTGAGGCTCTTGTCAGCAAGAGGACAACCAGAAAGGCTGAAAGAGAAGAGATGGAATATCTGGATAAGCAAAAAAAAAAAAAAAAAAAAAAAAAGAAAAAGGAAAAAGAAAAAAGGGCTGGGGCGTGGGGAGGGAGAGGGGCAATAGAAGGGGGGGAGGAAACAGAACCAAACTATCCACATGATCAAAAAATATACTAAAAGAAAAAAAAAGTTGTCTTTAGAGTTCAAACCATGAAGAAAAGGTCAACCCACCTGCGGTGAGAGGCATAGTTTCCCGTTATGTGTCCACTGCCGTCACAGCCTGGGGTTGGGCAACTGGGCAACAACAACAACAACAACAGGGATCATAAACGTGGGAAAGGAATGGATTCCCCAAGAGCCACAGATGGGCAAAGCCAGCTCAGCCCCCTCAGGATCTATCATGTGGGTCTCAGCCCAGCCCCACTGCCAGACCCCTTACACCAGCTCCATCCATCGGATCTCGGTGTGTGTTTGTACGTTTGCATGGACATAAACCAGACATTTCCCTTTCGGCTCCCTTTCCTCCCTTCTTTGTTCCCCAAAAACCTAAGGATCCTGTGAAAAAAAATTTTAGGCATTGCATAAATTTGTGGCAAATGCAAAGGAAGTGTTTAAAATCCTTAGTTGCTTGGAGTGCTTGGTGGCAGCTGGGGACTGACAACAGCCTGCTGGGTGGCATGACCTGACAGGTATGAACATCCCTGGAGGGTGCTGCCAGGTTGAATGATTCCTGCAATACTGAAACTCTGGCTGCAGGAATCATCTTGTTCAGTTTTCAGAGCTGAATAAGGTGCTTCAGATTTCAGGTTTCTGAAATGATTTGGTTTTTTTCCTCCCAGCCCTTTTAGCTGCAAAGAAAAGCTTGAAAACACTTTTCACTGCAGAGAGGGAATGAAAGGAGCCTCTGACTGTGTGTCTGGAGGCTCCTAAACAGAGGGTAGGAAGGAGCTGCTGCATCCCACCCACTGCCTTCAGTGGATGTACTTCCCATCCATCCCTCTTCACTGCCTCCTCTGTGAATTGTACTTTCATGGGCAATGGAAAAAGGTGCTCTCCCTTCTCCATGTCCAGGGAATAAAATCCAGTTTGTGCATGAGCAGCAAGGCTCTGGCACAGTCATGCCCTCCTGCCCCAAGTCAAGGGTATATGAGAAAGCAGGGATGTCCTGGGGCACTGCAGGGATACCTTGGGACAGCCTGGCCCAGCAGGTTGAGGCTTGGAGGCACCTATTCCCTGCTCACCCTTGAGTCCTTTCCCAGCCACAACTCCCACACAAACACATATGGTGATGTTCAAGCAGCAGGGATGTCTGGCTGTGTGGTTCCCACTCGTGTGCCAACAGGAGGGCGATGGGAAGATGCAGGTGAGGAGCACCTTCCCTGCCATCTGTGCCTGGAAGTGGCACAAGAACTACATCCAGACACGGAGCGTCAGGCACAGCAGGCGAGTCTGCTTTTAACTACAGCTAATTCATTACAGCCTTTGGGCCAGAGAGGAATAAGGATGCTAAATGGGGAGGGAAGCCTCAGCACTGCCCACGACACCATTTATTTATTCCAGGGCTGTTTCCATTCAGGAAATTTCTGTACCATCACAATAAAATTAAGACACGGGAGGACTTCAGGGCTCTACCTCAGAAATTGCTATTCACGGTGCTGCTGGGTTTTAAAAAAGCCTTTAGAGCTTTGGATAAGGGCAGCTGGTCTGTGCTTTGCTCATTTAGAGAAGATACTGCTGCTGCTCTCCCCCACAGATCTCCTCCCTGCCTGTCTGCTCCCTCAGCCTCCTGCCTGCAGAAGCCAAGTAATGAGCGAGTTGTATAAGGTCAGTAAAACAGTGCCCACCAGCTCTTCCCTGTTTAACATGCAGGGGGGTCAGATACACAGGAAAGAAGCCAAGAACAGCTGGGATGCCTGGGAGGGGAGACTTCCCCACCACAACCTCCAGCCTGATCCCGAGGTGCTGTTAGGTCAGACCGAGGTCCAAGCTGCCATGTTTGGATCAAACTCTTAAACATCAACCATTCCTGTGGGAATCAGTGTGGATGCAGAGCAATACTCCATCTAATAGCACAGATCTAGGTCTGTACTTCCACCCACACGATGAATAGACAGATGTGAGCTGGGGCAGTGTCTCTCTCCAACGCAAACTGCAGCCTGACAGCAATTTTGCTGCAGCCCCAGGTCACACTTTGTGACCCTGGATTATCACGGTGCTGGGACCCATTGCTCTAAGCCAACGAATCCTGTCTTCTCAATAAGACATCTTGTGGTTCAACACCCCCATCAAGAAGGTGCTGAGATCCCTTGGGTGCTCTTGGCTCCACAGCATCACCCAGTGCCCTAAAACAAGGGGTCAGGAGATTGGGCAGGCTCCTTCACTGTGCCAGAAACACTCTTGCAGGAAACACTGAGGAAAAGAAAGAGGTTTTCCTCAACCCTGTCCATGAATCCTGAGAGCACCAAGCTCCCTAATAGGTTCTTTTTATCACTGAACAGTAAGGCCATGTAGGAAGGTATTTTTCCTCATTGATCAGCTGTTGTACGAGGGTGGGGTTTCTCTTGAGCTTTCATATGAACCACTCAGATGAGCTAAGACCAACCACAGTAAGAAAGGGAACTACAATTCTAATTTTTAAAATTAATTTACTAGCAAATTTTGTCTCCTACCAGCCTGGCTGTGCTAGGTACATCTTTAGTAGATTTTGGAGGAAGATACAAAAAGGAGGACTTACGTGAGCAGCTCTTTCTTGATGTCCTTGGAGAGGAATTTCAGCTTGAAGTTGGTTAAAGTAACTTCCCCTGGGTATTTTCGCTCTTCAAAGTTTTCCTCTGACACTTCTTGCTCATCAGCTTCCGAGGAGGCAAAAGAGTGAGCGGCAGGTTCTGACTGCAAGAAAAGATCCAGGAACAGGGATTGTAGTGGTGGTCATTGCTGCTGAACTGTGGTGGGAAAGATCCCAGCTTCATTCCAGTTAAGAGTGCAGCATTCCCAACACTCCTGAGCCCTCTGAAAGCACCTCACAGTACCCAAACCATAGATCCAATAGTCTGTAATTTCCTGGTTTTGTAGGAGAAATGTGTAAAACGTGTCTGTACATGGATTTCCATGTGGATTTCCCTCACCCCGGCCAGGTAGTCATGGCTGGATTCCCCACCTGCAGGATTAATGTCAGTGACACACAGGGCCATCTCTGCTCATGGGAGATATAAATCCTGGCAAACATCACCAGGAGCACCACTGGGGCAAATGAGCTGAAAGGATTTACAACAAAGAAAGCACTGCAGACCCAGGGCAAGGAAAGTGGTGGGTTCTTCCTTTGCAACGCCAACAGTTCTAAGACCATCTGCCTCCTGCCTGCTTGTCCCTTGCTGATACCTGATAGTACTGACAAAGCTAGAAATATTTCTCTCCTAGGCTCAAAGGGCAAACTAGGTGTGTGTGGAGGGGGAGGGAACAGGACAACTCTGCGAGCACACATGGCATTCAATCGCCCATGAGGGAGATTCAAGCATGAAGAGTCACTTCTCACCTCTTCTGGCTCCTCTTCTCGCTGACGGTTTGGTTTAGTGTAGTCAATGGGCCCATCCCATTCATCCTGGCGGGAGGTCTGGCTGGACTGGGGGGAGGTCATGGTGCTGCTCGTGGCACTGGTGCTGTTTTGGCGCTGTGACACATCTGGGGACTTCATGCTGGGACTGCTGCTGCAGCTGCTGCTGCTGGGAAAGGTGCTCTCCCGTTTGCGGTGTTTGTTCATACTCAAGTCCAGAGTCCCATTTTCATCCACCTCAATGTCCATGGACTGAAAGGTTGGAAACATGCCCAGTGTTAGCAGCTGCCAGCAACTCCCTGTGGGGATCTTGCCCCCATTTGTCTTTTACAGTGCAGCAGGCAGCTTTTCACGTCCCGTCCTCTCCACAATCAGTTATGAGGAACTGAATGAAAAGGGATGCTCTTTCCTAAATATTTGAGGAAGGCGTCATGAAAATGCATCCCATGTGGCATTTTGACTCAGTTGATTAACACAGGCATCTAGTGCCACTTAAGATGCCCCATGGGATCCAAAACATCTGCCCAAGGCTCGGGGTGCTCCATAGGACTTCTGGAAAACCTGTGTTCCCCTGAAAAATAGCTGGAAATCAGTCTGGATGCAACTGGGGAATCTCAAGTGGCATCAGATACAGATCAGTGAGCAACTGAAACCAGCTCTGAGAATCGCAGAATCGTTGGGGTTGGAAAAGCCCTCTAAGATCATCGAGTCCAAATGTTCACCCAGCATGGCCAAGGACACACTAAACCATGTCCCCAAGTGCCACATCTACGTGTGGCACTTTAATCCCTCCAGGGATGGTGACTCCACTGCTGCCCTGGGCAGCCTGCTCCAGGGCTTGACCACCGTTTTAGAGAATAAATTTTTCCTAATAACCAGTCTAAACCTGAGACTTGGCTTGGCAATGCTGCTCATCTCCCATGGGTAATTTGAGCATCTCCACAGCACGTTGAGAGCCAAGATTACCTCCTCCAAACTGCACCACCCAAAGCAGGGGGCGAAAGGGTGATTTGTGATGAGTGTCTGCATTCCCCCTACACTTAAAAACTGAAACGAAAGGAAGGGTAAACCGAGGGGTTTCTCCCATCCCAAACTTCAAGTTTGGCCCCTGGGCAGTGGTCCCCAGGCACATGCACCCACCTTGCCGGGGGCCTCTTGCTGCTTGGTGCTGAGATTCTCGGGCATCTCCCAGCAGCGTGTGGAGAGGTTGAGGATGGCAGTGGCAGCCATGTGCGCAGCCTCAGCGTCGTGGGAGTAGTCGAAGCCTGTGGAGGAAGATGAAGTGCTCTTCACGTAACTGCTGGAGGGGCTGTGGCTGGGGGAAGAGGCCTTTGGAAAAGGTTTGGCTGGAATAAAAAGAGAAGGAACAACACAAGGCTAATGTATAACCGGCATGGGCAGCAGAGAGAAGTTAGTCTGACACAGTTAATGTATTCACAAGTTCCTGGGGTTATTCCCAGTCCAAGGGCTGGTTTGTTGCCCGAGATGTGCAACAGGAGCAATGCTGGCTGCAGCTTGTGCAATGGTCTCTTGGTGTGAAAGGTTAATTCGTTAACTGACTCTGCCATCAATACCCAAAACACAAACACTTTTCTTCATTAGAGATATTCCTCAGTGGAAGAAGCTAAAGGAGAAGGCCTAGAGAAGCTTCCTGGCTCTTTTTTTGTCCTCTGTATGTCCATAATTTATCTGCAGAGCTGTCTTATGGGGAGATTTCTAGTAGCACGTTTGAAAACATAAAATTTAAAAAATTACATTATTAGAAAAACCATGGTAATAAAATATGAGCTTCCAAGAATAACACGGTGAAATATAGATTTCCTGACAGCTGACATATCATTTAAATATGCCTGAATAACTGGATTTATTATACAGCTGCCACTCTGTTACTGTATGTCACAGCAGCAGCAGTGCCAACCAGGAAATGCAATTTCTCTTCACACCCTATGAAACAAAAGTGAGTATTTCTCAGGGTGAATGCACAATAAAACTTTCCCTAATAATAAATAATAATTTCCTATTAATAAGACTTGAACCTGGTCCCATTTAGGGGGGGACCTGACCCACACAGGGTCCCTCTAAGTCAGTAGTTTCAGTGGGTGCAAACGGAATCATCTGATTTAGAACAGTCACAGGATTGCATTCTGAATCAATTACCAAAATCTCCAAATCCTGAATTCATTCCACTGTGCCCTTTCTGGGGGAAACCACCCCCCCTTTAGGGGGAGTCTCACCCAGGGAAGACTCCTAAGCTTTGGCCTGATGATGGCAAAGCAAAGACAACCTCTGTTGATGCAGCTATGAAGCAAAGTGATTTCATTATTCCCATTATGAACTTGTAATATAAGACACTATAAAATACTAATCTTCCCCAGCACCGCTTTCTTCCTCGTTGCGTGCGTATATAATGCATATTGACATTAATGGGAGTTATGCACACACATGCAGGGGAATATAAATCCCTCTGGATGAAGATCTCTTTAAAATAAGTTCTCAGTGAAAGGAGCAGATTTCCCCGCTATGATTGGCAATCATATTCATCCTGTCGCTTTGATTAACTCATTGGAGGTTTGCCCGAATGGTTATTCTCGTGTCTGGCTGCTTGTTTTCCCGTCCGGTTTAATCCATGTCTTTGTGGTGGGGTGTGGGGTATCCGCCCTCCCAACCTGACAGTATCCAGGATCGGGAGATGCCAATTTCAATTTCACACCATGGGCTCAGCCATGCTTTTCCATTTCATAAGTATTTCTACCACTAATAGACTCGCAATCAGCAAATTAGTGAAATAAGTGATGAGAAAAAATAGAAAGGATTATCCTAGTGGGTCTGCTGGAATTATTTTTGTCAGTACAATTACCCTGAAAATTCTTTGCTAATATTGCAAATAACACAATCTATTCAACGAGAGAATCACTTGTGCTGGGAAACAAATTACTTTTCCATCAGCCCTAACCCAGGATGACAGTGGCAGTTGTGCTCTCTGGCCTCCATCCAATTTCATTGTCTGATCCTGTACAGATTTAGTACTGTAATAAAGGGCGCTCCCATTGTAGTGCAACAACCAGGATGCTTTCAAGTACGAGCACTTTTTTACAGAGCAGCTGCATCAGGATTAAACAGGATTGTGGAAGTGGGATTAGCCAGACAGAAAGCCCTCTTGAGGCTGCTGACTTCTGCAAACTGGGCTCCTAAATCTTTTTTTTTTTTCCCCCCTCAGAAAGATGTCTTCAGGTACATGGCTGGTGTCAAAGGGAAGGGGGAGGTTTAACACATTTGCACAGGCTGTCTCCCCATGCAGTGTCCCTCCTGCCCCAACAGCCCAGCCCCTCAGGGTTTATTTATCCATTTCATTTTCACCCACAGTGTTATAACCAGTGCAAGGTCCTCAGAACAGAGCAGAGGTGGGTGGCTATGACAGGAGAGAGCTGGAAGATAGAGGTGGGTGATCGATAGGTAGCAGAGCTGGAGAGCAGAGCACAGCAGGAAAGACAAATGGGTGGAATGGGTCATATATAAGATGGAAGAGAAGAAAACTGTAATCCATTTAGCTAGATGAGGAAAGACAGATCAATAGATACGAGCTGCAAAGCAATGGGGACCAACTGAGGACAGCTGTGTAACTTCTCCCATCTCGAGACATCACTGAGATTAATGTTCACACCGCAGTTCTTCCAAAAGCTGAGGCCAAAGCAACTCTCCTCCAAGCAAAGCTTTACCAGCAGCCATGGGCTCTTCTCATCTCAGCCTCCCCATCCCAGGAGGGATCCAGCAGTTCAGCCCCAAGCCTCTCCCACCACCCCAAAGCCACAATCCCAAGAGCCTTCACAACGTGCTGACAAAGTCAGAAAATGCAGAAACCCAGCCCATCCCTGCTCCCAACTTACATTTAAAGGCTTTAGGTGAGGTTTCGCTAGTCTGAATCTTTGGGGCAAGCATGCGTTTGCCAAAAACCTGAGCATCAAAACTTGCATAATCGAAGGTGACCTTGGAGTACTTCTCCAGCTCCTTGGCCAGGTTGGCCCGTGGGGTTGCTGGGACCATGTTGGGCCGGTAGCTTCCATACTGAGGGATCTCCAGTTGCTTCACAAAGCACATAGGCCTGAGGATGAAACAAGGAGCAGCAATTATTTCTCTTTTCCTTGGCGAGGTGACTGCTGGGAGGGGACTAGATGCAATGGGGATGTGTAGCTGCACCTTGTTCCCGAGGGCTTGCTGGGCATGAGGAGGCAGCAACAGCCCTTTTGCACTCCCTCAGCAAGTCTGCATCTAGTTTGGATCTCTTAGGTTCCATTTTTATTTTTTCACCCTTTTTTTTTTCTTTTTTTTCCCTCTTTTTTAAACAAAACACCGAGGTGTCAATCTCACCCGAAACAACAGTCCTGCCCACTGCTGTGGCATGGCAGCATTTTCCAACACAGCACAGGAATGGGTATCACTCACTCGTGGGACCCATGACACGGGGTGGCACACAAAGGCGTGAGGACCCCAGTTCAGCTCCACTCCCCACTGCAGGTTCGTTGCAGAGGCACCAGGGCCTCTCCCCTGCCTGCAGTCCCTCCTAGAGCCCCGCTTCGTCGGGGCTGCCTATCATGAATCAATTTGTCTTGCATATAAATTGTATATAAATGGCCTATTGTTATTCTCCTTCCCGTGACCTCTTTCCACCAGTGACTCCTCGGAGCGGGAGCTCCTTGGAGCATGGACCGTCCTCGTGATGCGCTCAGAGCCCGGTGCAGGCTCCGCTGCAAATAAATAAGTAATCGCCCTAAATGGCCTTTCCAAAGCACCGAGTGCTGGTGCACCAGGGTGCTCAGTAGTCCTGGGGAGCAAATAAATAAATTAATCAGAGCTCGATGCCTTTGTGGGAGTGCTGCTCGGGGCTCGCACCGCGGTTTTTATCCTGCTCTCGCTGCAAAATAACAAACCATATTACGATCCATCTGTAGCCTCATGAATCACATCAGCTGCGGAAGCCAGCATCTATCAGGGACATCCTTAATGTGAGACAGGCCTTTCTCCCGGGAAGATAGAGATGGGCGAAATATCAAAACAAATGTGATTGGTTTGGGAATGAGTGGCAGGTTCTTCTCCCCTGAACCGCGCGGGCTAAGGAAGAAAAGCAGGTGGACTTACACGCAACTGCCATGGAGTGATTTGTATGTAGCCTAAATCTCCTCCTCCCCCTCCCTGAGTCCACCCTACTTATAATGCTAATATAATAGCCATCACTGGCTGGCAGTTTGTGCTGCAGAGCGATCGGCACAAGTGCCTTCTGCTGCACTGGTAAAACCCTTTGGCCTGTAGCCTCAGCATTAATTGATGCTACAGAAGCAATTCATTGTCCTCAATGCTCTCCCTGGGACCATCAATTAAATATCTCCCCACCTTGGCGAGACCTATGATCGTAATAACAGGACTCAGCAGTATCAAGATACAGCTGGAGGGAGCCGTGACGGCCGCTCCTGGGAGCATGGCCTGGCAGGGAGGGCTGGGGCAGCGCAGGGATGTGGTGCTGGGCTTTGCTCTCCCGCTTACCTGAGTATTCGGTCAGAGTTGGAGCTGGTCTTTGAAGGATCACCAGACTGGGTTTGTTGCTTTTCATGTGATTTGGCTAATTTTTCAGCAGCAGCAATGGGGCACCCAGATAAACTGTGGGAGTTGGGTTTGTTTGTTTGTTTGTTTTTTGGAAAGAAGATAAAAAAAGAGAAAAGGAAACCAAGCATGAGGAATGAGCATGAAAACTTTCATTTCAGGGACCCAGAACTACACTAAGCCCATGAGAAACATGTTTGCTTCTTCCACACTGAACGAGTAATGAGACAAACTCACCTTGTACTTGCAATCACATTAACATAGAATCATGATTTACAGAAAGGTTTGGCTTGGAAAGGACCTTAAAGCTCAACTAGTTCCAACCCCCTGCCATGGGCAGGGACACCTTCCACTAGCCCAGGTTGCTCCAGGCCCTGTCCAACCTGGCCTTGGACACTTCCAGGGATGG